CGCTGCCCAGGCCTGGCCCAGTGGTACCTGTTCTTTGAGCTCAGTCACCTCTGCTTCTAGCCTTCCCAGCCGCTCCTCCAGGGGGCGCCACTGCTCCTGGGGGGCCCCAGCAGGGGCTGAGGAGTGGGCTGGGGCTTGCTGCTGGTAGTCATAGGTGTCAAGCCCCAGGGGCTCCCTGGGGGCGAGCCCGCCTGAAAGCACAAGAATCCCCGGTGGGCTTATGGGAGAGGGGTTAGCAAGGTTTCCTGGGTTCTGTCTTCCCAGTGATGCCACCCTGTGCCCCACCCCCATTCACCTATCCACCCACCATGCAGGGAAGGAGGTAGGAGCTGTGAGGGTGCTGGAGTGAACAAGTGGAAGGAGAAGGGAGCCTTAAGTGGACAAAAGTGACCCAACCGGCTTTCCCACATAGCAAAAGCCTCTCCTTTGGAAAGAAGGGGACCCACTTCCCCTGGTACCGGCCCCAGGAACCCTGACCCGCTGGGGATGCAGGGAATATATAGTCCAGGGCCTCCCTGTAGCTTGCCTGACTCTGCAGGGGTTCCCAGCCATGGGGGGCATGTCAGGGTCTTTTATCCTCACTTGGGCCAGGGCCTTGTCTAGGGGCAGCTTGGGGGACTGACATGTCACGCTGGGAGGGCCCAGAAGCCAGCACAGGCTGAAGTGCAGGAAGAGACAGATACGTGAAGTGTGGGTGGGGTTGCTTTAAAGTGCCTGGAGTCAGGTGCGAGTAAACCTTGCCGCCAACTGCCTGTCTCCACCTATCAGAAAGGGCACCACTTTGGGAGGATGCCTGGTGGGGTAGGGGGAGGTGGGAGGGGGGAGATGCAATAGCTCGCTCTGTCCCCACCCTCAAGCCTGGCCACTGTTTCCAGGCCTGTGGCTGAGGGGCCTAGGGGGTCCCACACTGGGCAAGATGGGCTTCAGAAAGTGAGACTTGGCTGCATTTTCTGAAAGGTTTGGGGAAGGTGCTGGAAGGGCTCCCACTGGCTTTCAAGGTGCTGGGCTGAATGAAGACAGCCTCTCCCTGGTTCCAGGTGGCCCTGTGTTGAGGGAAGTTCAGCTCTAAGGTTGCAGACAGCTACTTTCACCTTGCTTTGACCCCTCTCCTGCAGTCTGGAGAGAAAAGGTGGGAGGATGGGGGCGTGGGGGGCAGGACAAGTTAACTCCACAGACATCCATCCCACAGACCTCCACATGGGGGGGGCGGGGCGCTGGAGTCTGGAGGGGAGGGTCTTTCCCACACGGGTGGCTCACTGGCTCACGGGTGAGGCCGGCTTGGGGTGGCTAAAGGTTTTCTTGAAGACATTAGTTTTATGAGGCACTCCCCCCACCACCCCACTGCCTCCACCAAGAGGAGGGGCGTTGGAGATTCTCGTCCAAAACCTAAGTTGTCCTCTTTCTTCCAAACCTGCTTTGGCCTAAGTTCCTTGGCTTGGTTAATGCTATCTCCACCTACTCAGAAATCTGCTTCCCACTTCTGCACCCTTCCCAGTCCCATCGGTCTCGTCGCACGCAGCCATCCCCCAGCCCAGCCCCCTGTCCTCTCCTCTGCTTCTGTCTCCACTCAGGAGGCCGAAGCCAAGAGCCGCCCTCCCTGCCTCCACCTGCTCTGCTCCCCTCCACGCGGCCTGTCTAAATCACACGCCGGCAGGTTCCCACCAGCAGGTCCAAATGTGACGTTTCGCAAGCGCCACCCACCTTTTCAGCCTGCCCTGCTATCCCCCACATTCGGGGTTCTAACAGACGCAGGCACTCAGACCTCTTGTGCACGTTGCCATGCCCCTCCCCTGCACAGGGTTACCTGGAATGCCACGCTGTCTTGGTGTGGCTCCCATACCCAGCTTACTTCCTAGCCCCGTGAAGGGCAGCCAATGATAGGGTCCCAGCATCTTAAACCCTCCACCCCATCTTGACTCTCATCCTCCTGATTCTGCTCTAGACCTGCTTAAACAGGAACAATTAGGGGGTCAGGGAGAAGATGGCAGTCCTTTGAGACCCTCGGGCAGGATAAGGCTGGTCCCTTGCCTGGAGAGATCTGAAGAAAGAGCTCCTGAGTGTTGCACAAAGCCCAGTTGCTCCCCGTGGAACTGTCCTCAGTTCCCCTCCCTGACCCGTCTATTCCTGCCTGTCCCGCTGGGTGAGAGCCAGAGTGAGACTCTAAGTCAGCTCCCAGAGCAGGCCCCCTTTCTCAAGACAAATAATTAACTTCAGACTCCGGGATTCCAGGACAGCCTCTGCCCCACTGCTGCCTGCAGGAATTCCTCCCAAGGCCATAACAGGAAGCCCCTCCCTCTCCTGGACCCCTCGACTCCCTCTGTGCTCCCCCCTCATGCTGGCTCCTCCAGGGACTGGAGGCAACGCGCCCCCTCAGCGGGGCCTGGAGAGACAGCTTGTCCCCTCAGACTGATCTGAGCAAGGGCTGGGTCCAGCCCAGCCGCCCCTAAGCCCTCTGCGCCCCGACTTACCTCTGCTCACAGCCCGGGCTGGAGCCAGGCTCATGAGCTGTAGGACAAGGGGCAGCAGAGCGGTCCTGGACCCCGCCATGCTCTCAGGCCTGGCTGCTGTCTGTGGTCTCGGCTCAGCAGGCTCTGGGGGAGGCGGGGTGGGGACACACCAGGCCGCCTCCCATCCAGCCTTTGTTCAGGGAGGGCTTCTGGAATCTGTCATCGCTCAGGCTGTGCCTGCCTCCCTGCTGGGCACCTCGACCCCAGGGTCCCAGCCCCCTCCAGGCCCAGCCCTGGCTCAGAGGTGCAGTGGCGAGAGCAGCCCCAGCCCCACAGGAAGCTGGGAGGGGTGGGGGGTGAAATCAGCATAGGCTGCCAGAGGAGCCCCTGCAAATAAATACAAATTTGTCTCTCTGGAGCTCTGGGACAGCTGTTGTCCCTGCCCCCTTGGGTTACTCCAACTCCCTGGGGTTCCCAGTCGGCTTTTTCCCTTCCTTGCCTGTCTGTAGGAAAAGCAGACTGACCTGGGTTCAAATCTCTGCTTAGTCGATTCCATATGCCCTTAGTCAGACCCCTCACTTCTCCGTGTCTTAATTTCTCTGTAAACTAGGTGTCATGGTATCTACTTTATAAACCTGCAATTAAGGTTCGGTGAGATTATGCAGATAAAAAATTTAGGGCAGTGGTTGGCATATGCTAAGTGCTCAATAAATAACAAATAAAATAGATGCTACTCTCCGTCTCTGAATTCAGAGGCTCCCAGTCTCCTCCACCTATGTGTTCTTTCCTGGACTCTACTCACCATCCCTGTCCACCCCAGAAGTCCTGGGCATAGCCCCAAATGCCAAGGCTTCTTTTTGTTGGCTGGTCCCAGCCCATTTTCCAGCTCCTGAGCTCAGGCCTCGCCTGGGGGGTGAGCCTGGGGGAAGGGGTAGGTAGCAGGGCAGGGGCCAGGGCTGGGGGCAGGGCTGGGCCCTGGGCTCAGCAGGCAGAGGGGGCCAAAGAGAGGAAGTGAAGAAACTGGCCACAGAGCCCACAAGTCTGGGACACTCCTCGGTGCAGCTGGGAAGCAGAGGGAGGTGGGGATGGGCCCCAAGCTCACAAGCAAAGGGATGTGGAAGGCGGAGCCACGAATCTTGCAGAAGCCTCTCCCTCCTGCCTAAAGGCCAGCTAGTCAGAGGCCACCCCTCCCCCTAACCCAGGCAGGGACAAAGGTCCCTCCAGCCCACTCTCCCTGCACCCTGAGAGAGGGCGGCCTCTCTCCCCAGGAGTGTGGGTCCCTAATAAGGCCTAAGCAGTCGGCAGCAGCGGGCAGGGAGGCTGTGAGCCAGTGCTGAGACCTGACCTCAGCTGGCCCGGAGCAAGGCTCACAAGAGCAGAGGGAAGTCAGGGACAGCCAGCGGAAAAGGAACAAGGAAGTGGCAGCTCTGTTCCCAATGGCCTTAAGGAAAATGATACCTGTTATAGGGCAGGTCCCCTGGGAGTCTGGGTGGCGGGAGAGGCTAATCAAATCCTGGAGCTGATGTTTTCTGCTGGTGACCTCAGCAGCTAATTTTTCCTAGCTGTGACATGTAGCTCTAATGGCACCCACCTCATAGAGTGTTTGTGAAGGTTAAAGAAATTAATGGCTGAAAAGAGCGCTCAGCACGGTGCCTGGCACATCGACATTAACTCATTACTTCTTTTGTGCAATCTCTGCATAGTCACCCCAACCATGCAGGTGGGGGCCTTTCTTCCCATTTGACAGATGAAGAATGTGGAAGAAGCAGGAAGCAGCTCAAAGTCATGCTAAGACTAAACCGCAGAGCCCAGATTCAATGCCGGGTTCATGGGATCCCAGGGCCTGGCCAGGCCTGTCACACTGACCCCTGGCCACACGGCCTAGCTTCAACCTTGGCATGACCCTAGCCAGCCTCTGAAGGAGGGGCTCGTGCTTCCAGCAGTTTGGGGGGTTATCTTTCCTAGAGTCAAAGATGGAGGGCTTGTCAGGACTTGCATCCTTGTACCACTCTGTAAACTTCATTATCACCAAGAGCCCAAGCCCCCCAGTCATCCCAGTCACCCTGACTCCGTGTGCCCCCTACTCTACCCAGCTACCCCTCCCCTTGCCCTCCCACAGTGCCTACTCCAGGCCCCCACCTGCCTTTTCCAGTGCCTCTGTCAGAGCACCTGAGTGTCACCACAGAAGGACCCACCACTTGGCTGACCGGTTTCACATCAAATTCATGGCCACAAACCTCGGTGGCCACACAACACTGCCAGAAATCCTACTACGGACTACGGTCCCCTGGTGAATCCAATCTCCCGTTCCCGGAGAGGAGCACCTCATACCCTCTTCTTTCTTCCTAAACATCTCGGTGGTCCTGCCTTTTCCTCCATATGACCTTGGCAAGTTATCAAGGCTCTCCAAGCCTAGGTTCCTCTCCTGTGGAACACAGACCATGATAGTACCTCTGTCATGGTTGTTAAAAGAGTTGTCTTAGCCTGGATTCTCTGAAAGCACAGCCTGAGACAAAGGCTTGCATGTAAGTTAATTTTGGAATATGATTCCAGGAAGCAGGAGTGAGGGGTGGGGAAAGCAAAGCAGAGAAGGTTAGAGCACCAGTACAAGGTGGTCTTGGCAGAGCCGGTCACAGCTCTGGGCATCGGGGCGGGGGGAGGGGTGGGCAGGGCGGTGTCCAATCCCATAGGACCCTCTGAGCTGTTAGAAAGTGGAAGCATTTATCTGCTGCGATCAGTGCCCCTTTTGCTAAGGGTGGTCCCTTGGAGCGTTACCTGCTCCCAGTTATGCATGAGCGAGTGCAGGGTGTCCAACGCTGTGCACCACAGAAATTCCAAAGCTGGAAAGGAGAGATTTGCAGACAGGGCCTGAGGCGAGGCACTGCCGGGCTGCACCTGTGCAGAGCTGCTTGCAGCCTGCATACAACTAGAATAAGGTGAGGCTGAGAGGATTTGCATACGAGGGGTCCAATGAATGGGGCAATGCACATAAAAATCTTTTTACAGCGCCTGGCACCTTTTAAGCATCCAAAATATGTCATTATTTCTATTAACATAATCATTGTCTCCTGCTCAGGCCCAACCTGAAAAGCCAATATTAACATTCTTTACCTGCAACAGAAGGTAGAGAAGCTTCTGGAAAACTCACTCTGTGAAATAAAAACCCAGAGCCCTGAGGAAAGGGTGTTATTTGGGGAGACATTTGAGTTCCGCTGTGAGCGATCACTGTGAGCCTCTGTGCCAGCCGTCGGGCGAGATACAGTGATGAACGAAATATGGTACTGGCCAGAATGCCCGTGCAGGCCAAGGGAAGGGGGGACGGGGTCCCGGAAGAGGTAAGGGCATGAGCCCAGGACCATCTGTGCACCCTAAGGTCAGGCTCAGAATAAAGAGCTCACATTTCTCTGCTGAGCTAGTGGAATCAGATGTGATATCCTAACCAAAACCCAGCTCTTTCTTGAGAAGAGGAACATTCTGCCTACACAAAGAAGAAATGACTTGGGCCCAGGCTCGAGTCCTTACTGGACAGAATGGCCCCATGTACGAAGTGGTGTGTGGATCTAGCGCGTGTGTGGGCCCAGTAGTGTGTGGTGCTACGTAGGGCAGCAGAGGGCTCCAGACTTCGGTGAGTTCTGAGCTCAACTGCTCCACCGCTGACTGTCTATGCGGGTTGTTCTCCATTTCTCCCCGCTCCCATTCATTCCCCCCCATCGCTGCTC